GGATTGGGCAAATCGTTGCACTTGTTTATGGATTGGGGGCCGGTGAACCATGAGTCAACTAATTCTTGGCTCACTCGATTGTCACCCCTTGCGATAATTTCGCCCTCATCAAATTTGAATGTGTGGCCGGGTCTTGTCGAATGCACCGCAATTTGAGAAGTGGCAACATTTCGCCGAAATGTTGTCGCATGTTCGGCAATAGGCGCTTTGAGAAGTCTGCCAGTTTCTCCTACATATTTGCTTCGTCCGCAACTGCATCAGATCCCGTAGACGACTCCAGATGTTTCTTGCCGTGGCAGTGGGTCTTTCGATTTCATTATCCGACGCCTTATGGTTGCCTCCGGCCTGTGTGTGACTCCAACTCCAAGTGGTGCGAGTAGGCGGCCGACAGCCTCCGAGACGTTTTTAACATACGAAATCGCTCACCAAAGGTTGGGTTTGGTGCGATTTTGTTGGCCAGCTCGTTTGCGCAAGCACCGGTTAATGAAGTTGCGCGGGTAGGCGTTTTCTCTGAACACCTGTCGAAGCTATTGTACTTTGGCAGGCAAATAAAAGTATTGTCCCAGCGATCGAGTCATCATCTTCTGTGTTTCTCGTTTTCGGAAGGAGCCGGCAAAGTAAATTTACCATGTCCATGCATCGCTGCGGCTGATGTATCGAAGAATCAAACAGACATTACGGACACCCGTAACTCTGAGAAAGATAGAATGGATGGATACCGTTGGTATAGACCGGGAGTCCAAAAACTCCAGGTAGGACACATCGGGTATACAGTTTGGCGGGTTGAGAACTAAGCCAAATTTCTGACGGTGATCCAACACCGTTGCAAGATATTGCTTATGGTCGTAGGCGGTGAAATTGGCCACCAAGAGGTCGTCAGTATAGACGTACATAAAGGGGGTAGTGCAGGAAACTCTGGTCGCCGGATGTTGAGAAGCATTGTGAAGTCCAAAGGATACACACAAGAAATTAAAAGGCCAAAGAGGCTGGTAAGTACCCTATCTGAAATTTTTGCCGGGATGTAAGGATCCAAATGGGAGGCATGGACCAGATTAATCTTCGAAAACACGAACTTGCCGAACAGGGCGTCGGCAAAATCCGAAAGATGCGGTACTGGGTAAAGATACAGGATGTAGACAGTCTTTCAGGACTTATACTCGCTCCAAGTCGCCAATCACCAATGGCGCCAGTGGAGGCCATGTGAACAGATGAAGTCCGTGAACTGTCATATTGACGGACGATGCTCAAACGCATCTTCCGCTGAAGCAGGTCGTGTATACGGGAGATGGCAGGGCCGAGAAAATACCAGTAGACCAGTGTTTTGGATGTGATGGGCAAGATCGTACCGAGATGGAAAACTTGTGGCAAGGACCATGATGGCGACGTTGTGGAACATCACAGACGGGGGTATTCCTTGGGCGAACATACTGGTGTTCTGAACATATAAAGGGGGATGATGGTAGTTGATCAGAAGATCAAAGGCAGCGAAAAGATCTGCTACAAGAGAGATAAGTAACTTAAGCCCTGGTCTGGTGACGTAAGACAAGAGAAGTCATTGGAGGCCGGGGTGAAAGGGACAGTTCATTCTGTATAGAAGGAAGGGCGAATAGGTAAGAGAACTCTGACTGTCAGACGGGCGAGCAACCGCCGGCTGGCGAGCTGCATCTAAAATGACAAGAGCATGGGGGATTTCCGGAAGCCCAGCGTATCTTTTGTTCCTGCAACCCATCAAGAAATGGTACAATCTGGTTGGCTCGAGTTCTCAAGGTCGCGGTCGTGGTTCGGCCTTGAGACGGACGTATGCGACAGGTGCATCTGAACTTGTTTGCAGTGGTGAGTCTTTTCGCGAGGTTGCATGTGCGGAGCAAATTACCACAACGGCACAGAGCATTTCAGCGAAAGGACCCTAAAATATGCTGGAACTTAATGGCCACTGAGACGAAGAAATTACCGAAGGTGGCAATATGCGAGTCTTTGATGGCCTGGAGGAGGTCAGGGATGGGGCACTCGATAGCACCCACACT